TTCAGTCAAACTTTTAAACGTTGGTTCCAACAACAACTTCGAGGAACTCTGTATGCAATAATGACTTGGAACTTTTGGTAGACTATATCAAAATTGTTCATTCAAAAATATTTTGGCCTGTCACAGTGTGAATAAGATCTCAATGAGTGTTTGTTTCATTGGGTCGATTCGGCAAATACAGCACGGATAAATCTCGTCCCTAAACGCAGTGTGTTGCAGAACATAGTCTTACGCATACTTCAACCTTGACTCCATCATGCTTTAAAAAGTACCAGTGTTTAAAATAACGGAAAATGACGTTTTTTTTAAACCGTTCAAGAATGCCAGTCAAACCGCTATCCTTCTCCCAAAAGTGTGGTGGGAAAGATCTTTGTTTGCCTCTTGAAACTACAGAAGTTTTTGGTTTGTTTAACCTGTCCCAAGGGGAGTTTCGATGTCAATTACGAAGGTCAACATTAAAAACCCAAGACTAAAAAGGAATTCTTGTAGCTGGGCTTGAACCGTGAGATAAGGTTACGATGAGGCGGTATATTTCCCTTTAATCTATGTTTTCTGTGACTCACGGAGTGCCTGTGGTTCAAGTAAAAGCCCATCATAAATTCACCCAATCGCGCTCAGCATAAGGAATTTCTGTAGTATTGAAAGTGAAATAAATTATTTCTCCCTTGTCGTCATCAGTTGGCCCAAAATGTGCACATATTTTTGTCACATCTAAGCGAGAACATCATGCAACTGTTCTGGATGCGGACTTTTGTCTGCACCTTTTGGTGAACCCGCCACTGGACCGCGTGACCATGTGGATGGTCCTAAAGCGCTCATAAATTATGCTGAGCAGCAGAGCGTAGCTTGTGATCTTGAAACACCAGCAATTTGACGGTATGCGGGCAAGGAATTTTGCGTGTTTTTGCTGTTTTTCCACTGTTTCAGAATTTTTATAATTTGAATTTCGACAAAATATTTCTTGACCTTATTACAGATTATGAAAAACTATTTTTTTAAAAAAGTTTTGCTTGTAACATTGTATCATCTGACCGACAATATTAGTTACGCCAGTGCTGCGACGTCAATTATGTCATCTTTGTGCATCAGGAAAAGGCGTTCGACCGGGTAAATAGATTTCAACTTTGGGAAGTCTTAGAGAAATATGGTGTAACAGGACAATTGCTGGAAAACATCATGGTACTTTATATAAACAGCCTGTTTGCGTAAGATCTACAGAGGGACTATCGGACTGGTTCCACATTAGGGTGTGTTCTCTCTCCGCTCTCTTCATCACTTACATGGATAAGATCACGAAAGCAGCAAATGACAACATAACTGAACTGGACGAGCTTGTATTTGCTGCTGACCAGAGTATATTAAACACAGATAAAGAAAAATTACAAAAACACACAACAAAACTAAATGAGGAATGTAAACACCTTAACAAGAAAATCTCCATCTCAAAAACAAAAGTTATGGAGGTCAGCAGAAACCCAGGGAAACTCAACATCCTTATTGACGGAACACAGCTCCAACAAGTAGAGGAATATAAATATTTGGGAAGCATCTTTACCCAAGATGGGCGTATGGACAAAGAAATAGAAACAAGAACTATGAAAGCAAATGCAGTGACCTACCAGCTAGCACCCCTGCTCAGTCACAAGAACATCGAAGTGAAATCCCAGCTCATCAATAGCATCTTCATAACAACATTAACATACCAGGGCCAAACATGGTCTCTAAACAAGACACAAGACTGAAAAATCAAAGCATGCAAAATGAGGTATCTCCGCAAAACCATCAATGTCACCAGAAGAGACAGCATTAGAAACGAAACCATAGATCTAGATATTACGTCTACAAAGGGGAATACCACAAAAAAACAAAATTCATAGAGCGTCAAAGAGTCAAATGGTTTGGACATCTAACCAGAATGCCCCAGAAACAACCAGCGGCTAAAGCTTTCAACACCCGAGAATCAGGTTTCAAATGAAGAGGAAGACCCAGAAAGACATGGCTGGGT